CGTCATGGAAGGCGCCGTCACGCGCGAAGGCCTCGAGGCCGCCGCCACCCTCTTTCAGGCGCAGGTCAACGACGCGCCACGCATGCTCGTAGCGCGCAACGTGCCGTTGGTCGAATGGCTTGCCGACGACTACGACAGTCGTCTCTGCGGCGCCATCTTGTCGGTCACGTACGAAGGCGAGGCCGACGACGTGTCGACGCTCGCGTCGATCTACATTGTCCGCGCCATCACGCGGCCGCCATATAGCACGACTTTCGAGATGGCCCAGAGCCGTCCGATCATTGCGAACGGCGAGGTGCGCATCGCCGACTCGCAGATGGCGTGCGTAGACGCCAACGGCGCCATGCTCCCGCCGATCATGGTCATTGAGCTCGAGGTCGTGAACCGAAGCATCTCGACCATCGTGGCCTGGATGCAGGGCTACTTTGACATGCTTGCGGGGCTGCGCGTGGCGCTGGCCTTCAAGTACTTTCTCAACGAGGACGCAGAAGACCCCCAGCGCTTTAGCGCAGTCGTGCTCCAGTACGGTCGCAACGCGACGGGCCACGTGGTGCTGCAGTTTGCAGCCAGCTTTGGCTCGGTTTCGTTGAGCCTGGACGAGAAGGCGACGATCGACGACGACATTTTGGCCACGATGAAGGTCTTTGACGACGATATTGCAAGCGAGCTGGCACTGGGCCACACGAAATGGGCCCATCCGACGGTGCCGTGCCCGACCCTCCAACTGTCGGTCGAGGACCTCTGGCCCGGGCCTGACCGGGAGTTATATGTCACTCCCGGCACCGAGAACATTTCCATGGACCTTTACGCCATGATGCTAGCGATTCGCGATTCGACGGCGGAAGAGTAGCATCGTGTCCGAAGCTCTTATTTTGAAGCGTTTCAAATCTTATCAATCTATCAACGGACCACATTGCGTGCGCTGCACACTGGTTAGTCATGCTGGCCCTTGGGTCCCAACGTGCACCTACCAAAGAGGCAGATGCAGCGCCGTTCCGTGCTCAAAGACGCACTTGCAAGTAGAGATCATCTATGGTGACCGTGTGATAGGGACGATCTGCATGTGCCGCAAGGCGACCGACCAGATCTTATATGCTTGCACGACAAGAAACTTCTGCACCCTGGATGAATTGATCAGAGGAGCTACGGCAACATCAAGGCCGGCATGGTCATCAAGACCAGAAGCCACTGACGTGGCTGGTAAGGGATCATGGTGAATCTTGACCTCGAGTACTGGCTGGTTTGACCGGATACAATTACTTGAGACTTTGTCCACAACAAAATATGATTTATATTTCCTCAGCAATTATTATTCCCGCACGACCGCGCGTCCATATCCCAGGTATGGTCGAGTGTATCCCCGCATCAATGCGACAAGGGCTCATTCCAAGACGTGGAAGAGGTTTCCTGCGCGAGCGACCCAAAAGCCCAAGATCCAGAAGCACAACCGTTTTCCAGGCAGAGGCCAAGCGCGATCGAGCCAACGCTAATTTCGCAGAGTCCGTCAAACGCCAACTTGCCTCGCCCACCACTGGCATATTGGACACCGACACGGCTGTTGCCAAATAGCTTGGTTTTTAAACAAGGTTCCGGGTCGCGGCCGACGAAAGCCCCACGATTGCATCTAGGTAGATTCACACCCACAAAATCCGCTCCTGCAAGCATTGTATGATAAAGGGACTGTCCTTTGGCGTAGAGTAGTCATCACTGTGAGCCGAGGCAATGCAGCCGCGACAGGCGCCGCAGCATACACGCGACGAGCCTCTGCTTGCAACCTGCAGCGTATTCGTGCCACTCTCGCGGCACCGTCGGCAGCCACGACGTCTGGTCGGCGCCAGTGTTCGTGGCCGTCCCTTCGTATACCCTGTACGTCCATCATCGCTCTCTTCTTGTCTCGTGCGATCCACCCAGAGGTGTTTTCGATGCACCCAAATGGGCTTGGCTTCTAGAAGTCGACTGGGATCAACAGTAGCACGTGTGGCGGCCGCAAGAATGACGGTCGACCTTCGCGAACTCGTGATGGCGTGCAAGGGTTGTCGGCTCCATCATCATCGCTCGCCAACTGGCTCGTCTTGGGTGGGTGCCGTTCCCAGGTTGCACTTTCTATTTTAATTTCACAATTGCACTCTGCATACATATTTTGAGTGTGAAATAAAATACCAAGCCGCCTGCTGTTTCAGGATCGCGGATTGTTCCTGGATCCGAGGTCCAAGGTTAGCAAGCCATTCTTCGATTGGCGTGGTGGCGAGTGCAAGCAGTTCGATGGCCAAGTACATGTCGGTGGCGGCGACCGCCAAGCCGGCGGCCGACGTGACGCACCCGCTCACGCGCGCGGGCTACCTCTCCAAGATCACATTTGGCTGGGCGAACGCGCTCCTCGCGCTTGGCCACGAACGCCAGATCGACCCGGACGACCTCTGGCCGCTGGCACCGGAAAACACGTGCAAGGCCGTGAGCAGCGTCTTTGAGCCGTCGTTCACGTCGTCGCATTCGATCGTCAAGACCATCTTTTCGCTCTACGGCTGGCGGCTCTTCTTGGTGGGCCTCCTGCAGGCGCTCACACTGGGCTGCACCTTGTACGGCCCGATCGTGCTCAAGACGATCTTGACCGCGGTCGAAGGCCCGTCGTTTGACCTCGTGCGCGTGCTCAAGTTTGTCGTCTCGCTCTTTGC